AAGAGAAAAGGGGACTAAACACATGATACTAGGCTTTTTTTTTTTTTTTACAGAAAAAAGAATTCTGTAAAAGATATTGTTGGGAAAATTGTATAAATAAAATGCAAACTGTAGATTATACAGTATAATTTATTAACTTTCTTCAGGGAGAGAATGTCTTAGTTCTAGGGCTGAATAGTGGCCCCCAAAGGTCTCTGTGTCCTAATACTTGAAACCTATAAATATGTTAGCTTATATGGCAAAAGGAACTTTGTAAATGTGATTAAATTAAGCATCTTGAGATGGGAAGTAGATTATCCAAGTGAGTATAATGTAATCACAAAGTTCATTCTAAGACAGATCAGCAAGGTCAGACAGGGAGGGCAACATGGTGAGAGAGCAGAGGGAGAAGAGGTGATGTTGTCAGGAATGGATTCTCCCCCAGATCCCCCAGAAGGCTGCTGACACTTTGCTTTTAGCCCTGAAGACTCATTTTGGACTTCTGACCTCAATAACTAAAAGAATAAATTTGTGTTTAAAGTCACTGAGTTTGGTGTAGGGGTGGAGGGTGGGAAGGAGGGTGGATGGTGTCTCTTTCTGCCAATCTGTGGCCCAACTAAACTAATGAATGAGGATTAACAATCTTCTGCACCCCTTTCACTCAGTGTGTCTGATGACAAAAGATCAGCAGGATTCTATCACCTGAGGGCTTGTGGAGATACAGATTCTCAGGTCCCACCCAGAGCTACAGATTCAGAATCTTCACTTTAACAGAATCCCCAAGTGATTTGTACCTAGAAATCCACCTTGTCATTGCAGAACTGTCCTCACCAGGACGCAGAGCCATCAACTCTGCATTCCCAGGGTGACTCTCCATTCCCTGTTCATTGGGTAGCTGCCACACTGCTTAGGTGTGACAAACCCCACTGGGAGAACTTGTGTTTGGCACACAGTAGGTGCTCTGTAAATACATCTTCTGATGTGTGTGGGCCCAGATCAGAGCTTCTGTTTCCTTGATCCATCAGTGCCCACTCTGACAATTACTACTCAACCAGCTTTTATTGATGCCTCTCCTACCAGGTAATGCTACACCCATAAATTAAAACAGAACCCGGGAAGTTGGCCTGGTCATGCATGCCTGTAAACTCAGATACTAACTAAGGAGGAGGCTGAGGCAGGAGGATCACAAGGTGGAGGTAAGTTTGGGCAAATTAGTCAGGTTCCGGCTCAAAATAAAAAATAAAAAGGGTTGGAGATGTAGCTCAGTGGTAAAGCGCTCCTGGATTCAATCCCTAATACGGCAAAAACAGACATAACAAACAAACAAAAAAATAGGAAATGTTAGCATAGTCTTTTGCACACACGCCTGGGCCTGGTTAGAGTGCAATCGTGAGAGTCCGGAGGTCACCAGGAAGTACCAAAGTGCGGAGGCGTGACACTGCCAGACCACGCAGCATGCAGCGAGTCTCCCAGGGGGCTGTGGTCTCCTACTTTCTAGGTTTGGCAGTCCCTCAAGGCTCCTTCCCGAAAGTCCGCTGCCCCTCCACCTCTCCCACACAGAGCCGTTTCACCCGCCAGGTCTGAGGGTTCTTTTCAGCAAGTGCCTGCTCCCAGCTTCTGGGTGGCAAGCCTCCTCATCTCTCCCCTCCGCGCGCCCCCAGTCCTTCGCGCGAGTCCCCTCCCGTCATGCGCGCGTTTCTGCTCCATCCCCCACGACGCTCGCTCAGCTCACCGTTCCGCGTGCCCCTGCCTGGAGGACTCCAGCTCCGGCCCTGGAGGGGAGCGCTGTTGCCTAGCATTGGGACGCGATTAGCAGATTGGGAGGGGCGCATGCGCCGGGTGCGCGCACCAAGAAGGGAGGAGCCCTTTTCTCAGAACGGTTCCTCTGGCCTAGCAGAGGCGGTTCTCACGGTTGGACCTAGAGAGCGGCACAGGTCTCTCCCCCCAAGGCCGAGGGAGAGTTGGTTCACTCCTGGGAGCTCCGTGGGTCGCCACTCTGTGGATCCGCTCCTCCTCCTCCCCATCCCTGCCTTCCTTTCCGTCCTCTTCCCCACCCCAGTCTCCTCCCTCTAGGCCCCCTTTCCCGCTGCTTCTCCTTTTGCCCTCTGGTTCTTTTTCTCCTCCTCCTCTTCCCTCTATCCCTACCCACCTCCCCGTTTCCTAGCAGGATCCCTGGGTCCCGGGAAGGGAAGAGACTCTTCTGCAGACCCGAATAGGAAAAGTGACCTAAAAGCCCCAGGTTGATGGTTGCCAGATAAAATACTGATAAAATACCGCAAGGCTATGTAAATTTGAATTTCAGGTAGACGGATTACTTTCTAGTAGGAAAATGGTATAAAAGTTATTTATTGTTTCTCTGAAGTTCAAATTTAATTGAACCAGCTCTTTTTTAATTTAACTTTGGTACCTCTGCCTGAGTACTTTCCCTTCTTATTCAGCTGCTGGTTCTCCCCCAGGCTGGTTCTCCCACCTTTTAATGGCTGCAGAAGCTTCTTCAGGCCAGAATTAGCTCTTTCTCTAGAAGGGGCTTTAGTGGCCTAGGTCCCTAGTGGTGCATATAAAAACAACATTACTTAGTGCAGGAGAGATGGGCACTATTGTAGGTTCATGGACAGGGACCACATGTTAAATGAGAGGCCCAAGAAGACATTTTGTCTAGTGTCATTACCAAGGTTCTTCCTTCTCTTTGTTGCCTTGTGAATTTTATTGTCCCTTTAGGAAAGGTTCTCCTAGGGTGACATCTCAGTTAACTTCAAATTTAGCTGAGATGTCACCCTTAGGTTCCACTGATAAGGCTATGCAACTTCTAGCGATTTCCGACACACACTGAACTTGGCTTACTCTAAGGCCAGAGGTCCTCCCCTTCCCACATGTTATCCTTCTGGAGCAGCAGCAGGACTCCCTTCCCTTTTTCATGTTACTCACTTCAAATGACCTGAGACGTCTGTGTAGCACTGTTTTTTGAGTGGATCCCACTGAAGAAGCACAGTGAAGACTGTTCCAAGTCAGTAGCAATAATTAGGACACTAATGCCAACTTATTAGGAAATTAGGTCCATTTTTGAGTCACTTTTCTGTTTTCAATTTTGAGTTTTTAGGACTATGTTTATGCATACACACATACTCGTTCTTTTCCCACTGCTGTTTCGAATGCAAAAGATAACATATGTCATTTCTGGACCTTGTTTTTTTTCACTTCATTTTGGGTCCTAGACAACATTTCTTGTTTTAGAGAGCATTGTCCTTCTCTTTTATGCCTGCACAAGAATCCAGGGTGCTGTATCTCATTGATCCCTATTATATGAACATCTGAATGGTATTCCAGTTTGACTATGGTAAATGAAAGTGCAAGTAACTATGTACCTATGCCATTTATATTTTTGCTAGTATATCATTGAGATTGTATTCAAGAAGTGAGATTGGTGGATCAAACGTGTGATTTTCTAGATTTTTGCCAATTCCCCTCTGTAGGATTGTATTTTGCTCTTGGACCAACATCTCATGACAGAAGAAAAGCCTTGAGGCCTATAGATGGACCTCAAGATGTCAGTGTTTCTGAAATTTTATGCAAAATGCTAGGTGCAGTTGTCTAGGGATGGATCCAGACACATTGGCATTTTGTCTACTGTCATTACCAAGGCTTTTCCTTCTCTTTGTTGCCTTGTGAATTTTATTGTCCCTTTAGGAAAGGTTCTCCTAGGGTGACATCTCAGCTAACTTCAAGTTTAGCTGAGATGTTACCCCTAAGAGAACTTCTTCTGTGACCGTGTGAGCTGCTTGGAGAAGGAGCAACTGCCTTGAGTTGCATGGGAAAGCTCAGGGAATGAGAAATGATCTCTGTCCTGCAGGTGAGGAGATACTTTTTCCTGTTGAGAGGAAGGGATCATCTTCGTGTACAAAAATCACAATGATGGAAAAGCACAAAGTGTTATCAGCAGATTGGCAGGATGTTCAATGGAGCAAAAGCCCAGGGTGTGTTGTAGGCAGGAGAGTTGCCTGGAATCAAACCTGAAAAGAAATTTGGGGCCAGGTTGTGAGGAGCCTTTTTTTTTTTTTTTTTTTTTTGTCAGCTTGGTGTTGCTGTGACTAAAGGACCTGACAAGAACAAAGTAGAGGACGAAAGTTTATTTGGGCTCAGGGTTTCAAGGTTTAATCTGTGGTCAGCCTACTCTGTAGCTCTGAGGTGAGGCAGAACATCATGGAAGAAAGGTGTGGTAAAAAGGAAAAGGAAAGCAGTTCAAGACATGGCAACCAGGAAGCAGAGAGAGAGAGCTCTGCTCACCAAGGACAAAATATATACCACAAAAGCACACCTCCAGTGACCTACCTGCCTACAGTTACCACCCAGTTAATCAGCATCCATGGATTAATCCACTGATTAGGTTAAATCTCTCATAATGTAGTAAGTTTGCCACTGATTATTCTTGCATTTTCTCACAAACACCAGCTTTTGGGGACATCTCATATCTAAACCATAATAGAGCCTCGTATTCTATTCTTTTATACTCTTAACCTTGGAAATACATGGAATTTTAATGTTGAGACTTTTTGTAAAGATATCATACATGGTGTAGGAGGAACATATTAGTAGAGTGTAGGGTGAAGTCCTAGAATCGAGAGGTGGGTACCAACTCTTCAATCTGAACTGTCCACTTATGCTCTTTTTGCCTGGACTTCCTTAATCTGCTCAGTGGGGAATCATGATACCCAAAGTTTTAGGTATGTTGTGAGGATTAAATGAATCAGGTATTGCTTGGCATAAAGTCAACTTGAAGTCAATAATCCCTTTCTGTCTCATGCACTGGACTTAAAAGCCCTTCAGGATTTTTAACTATTTTAGCTTTAGTGATTTTAGAATAGCCCTTTTGGAAGCTGTTAGAAGTTTCCTCGGGGCAGTTTGCTTATGCCACCCATACTGGGAAGTACCCATGGTAAGGTAGAGTGCTTTGTTGGCCTATTTGACTTTACTCCTATTGCATTGTAACTGAAAGCCTGCACTAATGCAAAATGTTTATTTTTTAGAGGTTTTCATTTAGGAGTTAGAAATGGAGTCGTCATATCTTCAAAAGCACCTTGGAATGTGTCTAACTCTAGGTCTTGCAGAAGTAGCAAGAGTTCGCCCAGCGGATCCAATAGAATATTTAGCATTGTGGATTTACAAGTATAAGGAAAATTTAACCATGGAACAACTGGTAAGTATGAATCTCCTTTTAGGAAATAAGAAATGTAAAATAATTTTTTTTAAAGATTCCATGTGTTAGCAATAAGAAATCAAATATATGCTCAAACTGGGTGGGAAAGGCAAACCTTTATTTCTGCCAAAAGGGCTTGCTACAGGAACCTGGCTAGCAAGAGCACCTGGGCTGGCTCTGTAGGTTTATATACCTAATGCAGCACTGCCCTTCACCTTGATTGGAGGACTCCAGGGTACAACCTATGCTATTGGCTAATTTTAAAATTCAGGTGGGCAAAAGGGAAGGACTATAATTTGATCCAATTGAGACTGAATACTTTATTCTGAAAATGGACCACCAGACTATTTCTCATACATGTTATTTCTATTGTAAAAAATAGTATGTATTATAAAAAATAACATGTGAAAACATAGGAGAAAAAATACCCAAATAAGATTTCTGTTTACATTTTTTAGGTATTTTCTTCTACAGGTAGTCTTTTTTCTACGTTTGCCTGTAGATTTTCTTTTTACATACCTGTGGTCATTCTCAATGTATAATTTTAATTTTGTGCTCTTTGTTCAAATAAAACACACATCTCCCCAAATTACTATATCGTTTCTAAATGGATGGACTATAATTTGCTTGCCCGTTTTCCTATTGTTGGTGAAGTTTTCCAGATCATTTTTTAATTGTTTGGTTTCTAATGAGTCACATACTATTGCTTTTAACCATGCTAGAGGCAACAAGAAATGGTGGACTTGGAGCATGAAAGAGAATTGGCTCGGAGGGAGCAGGAAATTATGGAGCGGCTCAAGGCAGAGGAGCTCTTGTTGCAGCAGGTAAGCAAGAAAGGGAGCTCGGTGGTGACAGGAATTAGTGATGTCAACTTCAGTTCCTCTGCCACAACCCAAACACTGGCAAACTCCTCAGCTCTGGCCACATGGATGTGGCTTCCTGATAGATCCATCTTGCTGCCCCTGTGCATCCTCTTTGTTGCAGAAACAGTAGCAGTGCAGCTGGGAAAACCCAGAGAGCTCTCTATCGTGGAAGAACAGGAGAGAGAGCAGGATCTAAATGGTCTACCATGTCTCTGCTGAACTGAAGAGTGTTCATTCAGGGTGGAGTAAAGTAGGAGATGGCGAGTGAACATAATATTTTCAAGGAGATTTTCAGTGGAGATGGGTTTTTTGTTTTGATTTAGGAACACAGTACGGGGAGTGGGTGACATTACGAAACTGGATGATTCAGAGTCAGCTTCCCTTGGAGACCGAGGAGATGAGGTCTATAAGATGGTGAGGCAAGTGGAAGGCACTTCTTTGATTATAATGGAAGGACAGAAGAGAGGAGAGGCACATGTGGTTTTCCATGGCACATGTTGGAAGCAGTTTCTGTGTGATTGTTTCCATCTCTGTGAAGTAGGGACCATGACCATCTGCCAAGAATGAATTGGCAAGTGGGAATGTGAAGGGTTGCAGGTGGCTTTGGGGAATGGAAGAGAGAGTTGACCAAGGAAACTTAGCATTATAGATGGAGTATTCCTAAATTCCTAACTAAAAAAAAAAAAAATCCTAAATCTGAAATTCTCCAAACCCGAAAGATTTTTAAGTGGCAACATGATACCACATCATGAAATTTTGTTTCTTGTCCAATATTATATGAAATTACTTGGGTGTATATGAAACATACATGAATTTTGTGTTAAGATTTAGGATTTGTCCCCAAAATATATTATTATCCATATGCAAATATGTCAAAATTGAAAAAAAAAACCTCTGAAATTTGATATAATCCTGGTCCCAAACATTTCTGATAAGGGATACTCAGCTGGTACTTGATAGCAGTTGATGGATGATCACACATTCATAGTGGTGCCCTTTGGTTTGGTTGTGTGATCATGTGATTTCCCTACTTAGTGCAAGTGTAGAGGAGGCAGACTCCTTGACTAAAATTGACCTAGCAGGACTGGGATAGCAGGACTGGGGGCTGAACATGCTGGTAAGGGAATGAGTGATGGGAGAGGTCAAGGAGTCTCAAATGGACAGCTCTAGGGTGGCCTCTGAACTAACAATTTATAGAGAACTTCTGAACTAAATGTAAGCCACCTCTGTAGTTCCACCACAGAAGACTTCACTTTAGAGTCTCAGATCTACACACCTAAAAAAGGGAAAGAAGCTCACTACTTGGATGTGTGGATAAAAAGAAAAATACAGACTAACAAACAGCTTTTCTGCCGGAATCTCCCTCGATGCTGAGAAGTGTCTGGTGCCAAGGTGTCCAGATGAATAGGGCTGTTGAGAACATTGCTGCTCTGAGTCTTCACCCTCAGTTACTTGGCTTATTCTTGAGGGGAAGTGGCAGCATGTTGAGCTGGATGTCAAACCATTCATCCAAACAGGCCAGCCATCTCTCCAGCAGCCGCAACTTTGGGGGATCTGTCCTCCTCTGACTGCTCCTATGCTTAGAATCTGCCCCCTGTCAGAATGACAGGGATTCTGTCTCTGTCTTTTGTTTTTTACTTATGATTTCAGACTTTAAGTTCTTTGGAGGCTTATCCCTCTGAGCAGGCAAAAGTTCCCTGGTGAGGTGCTGGTCACCCTGGGATATTATATGAATTTCTTTATCTAGCCATCTACCGGTAGACATTGGCTTCCACATTTTGCCTATTCTAAACAATGCTGCAATGATTATGGGAGTTCAGGTCATCTCTTTGAGATACTGATTTCATTTCCTTTGGATATTTACCCAGAAGAGGGATTGTTAGATTCATATTTTAATTTTTTTGAAGAATGTCCATACTCTTTTTTTCCATATTGACTCTACTAATTTATACTCTCACAAGCAGTGTACAAAATGGTTCCTTTTTCCATTTCCCTGATGCTAGTGATGTTGAACAGCTTTCATATTCCTCTTCAACATTTTTATGGCTTCCTTGGAGAAACGTCTGTTTTTACACTGTGGCCGACTGTTTCAGGACCTTGGCACATTTTTAAATTCAGCTACTTTTTTTTTTTTTTTTTTTGCTATTGAGTTAAGCTTCCTATATATTTTGGTTATGAACTATTTATCAGCTGTATAATTCACAAATATTTTCTCCCGATCCTCAGGCTTCCTTTTCTCTTGTTGACTGTTTCCCTCACTATGAAGAAAGAAGAATTTTAATTTGATCTAGTTCCACTTGTTTATTTTTGCTTTTGTTATCTGTGCTTTCAGTGCTCTATCCAAAATGTCATAGCCAGATGCATTTTAAAGAGATTTTCTAGTACTATATTTTCTGAGTTTTATGGTTTCAGTCTTAAGTTCAGATCTTTAATCCATTTTTAGTTGACTTTCTAGTATTGTGCAAGAAAAGGAAGGGTCCAGCTTCATTCTTCTGCATGTTGGACTCTAGTGACTATCCCTCCCCTGTGTGTATCTTGCAGGACTTGTTGACCATATATACTTGGGCTTATCTGGGGGCCATCTATTCCATTCCATTGGTCATCTACATGTCTGTTTTTACACTGTTAATTACCATAACATTGTAACATAATTTGGAATCAAGGAGTATAATGTCTTCAACTTTGTTTTCTTTCTCAGGATTACTTACACTATTTGGGATCTTTTATGATTCCACAGGAATTTTAGTACATTTTGTTTCTAGTTCTGTAAAATATATATATATATATATATATATATATATATATATATATATATTTTTTTTTTTTTTTGGAATTTTGATAGGTTCCAAATATGTATTAAGTTTAAACTATAGATTACTTTAGGCAGTATGGACATTTTAATATTATCAATTGTTCCAATCCATGAACACAAGGTTATCTTTCCATTTATTTGTGCCATCCTCATTTTTTAAAGGAGTTTTACAATTTTCAGTGTATGATCTTTCACTTCCTTGGTTAAATTTATTCCTAAGTACTTTGTTCTTTTTGAGGCTATCATAAATGACATTTCTTTTGTAGATAGGTTATTGGTATACAAGTTGTAAGTTTTTGGAATAAGAAGAATCACACTCAACCATTACTTCAAATGTTAAATGATTTTGAATTTCTTGATTATGTTTCTTAATTCAACCTAAGAATTATAAAACAAACAACACTCATATATGAATCTTACACTGTAGTAATATCATTTCAACAACTCATGTTACGTGAATCACAAGAAATGTCAACCAGCATTATGTACTTCCCAGTGCCTCCAGAAACTGAAATGAGAAATCACATCTTTATCCCAGATGATTGGCTTAGATGTATTTTCCACCCTCAAATTATAGTTCCAGAGTGTTCATTAGACCACATTGTAGGTTCAAAGAAAATTCTCATATTTCAAAATTCACTTAACTATGCCATTAAGAAGCTTCTACCAGACTTCAGCTGGCAAATATCAGGAGAAAAATCTAATAGAATTCTGTAAATGCCTTCTAAGAGATAAATATGCTCAATTTAAACTACAGGCACACAGGATTATATCACTATTTGACAGTAACTATCTGTGTGAAAAGACAGTTTGAAAGATGAAAGATTAGCATTAACATTTTCAATTTTGATGATAAGGAACACTAAGTTTTAAATACAACTAAGTGGAATGTTACCTTTAAATTTTTAAAATTCTTAATAGTAAGCTGGTATTATAAAAAATCTATTCAAGAATTATTATTACTTAAATTTCATCAATAAAATATTGTGGAATTTTTTTCTCTCTTTCTATAACTGTGTAAGATACTATAATATCCTCAATTTTGCCTCTAGGCCTGTGAAGCAAAACTATCTACCATCTGACCCTTTACAAAATAAGTTTACCCATTCCTAAGCCAGAAAGTAACTTCTCACCACCAGCCCAGCACTGTCTAGTAAAGTTAAGCTCCTCACATTCAGAACATTTTACAGATACATTTTAATAACATATTTAGCAAAACAACATGTTTACAAAGGTAACTAATAGTTATATTTTATCTACAAAAGACTTTTAAAGGCAATTCCTTGATATTCCTATATTATACCCACTAAAAGAACAGCCCTGGGGTAGGTGGCTTATTTATGGAATCTTTTTTTTTTCTTAAATGAAAAAGTGGTTACCAGAGGTGGGATACATGAGGTGGGAGGGGAAAATGGGAGGATGTAGGTCAAAGAGTCCAAAACTGAAGTCAGGTAAGATGAACTAATTTAGAGATCTAAGGTCCTGGATGAGGACTGTAGTTAATGATATTGTATTGTATATGGAAAATTTTCTAAGATGGTAGATTTCAGGTACTCTTATCTCCCCTCCCCCCCACACAAACAGCAACCAGATGGATATATTAAGTTCTCTACCATTAGTAATCACTTCTGAATGTATATGTATATGAAAACATCATGTTGTATACCTTAAATTTATATAGTAAAACATTTAAATCTTGGCTCCAAGCTAAAAATTCACAATAACATGTTAGCACTGTTAAGCTGCAGAACTGCTTTGACTTGGGACAAATCAAGATATATTTAGCTTTATTTCTGACAAAAATTATAGAACCCATGATGGTTAAGTATATAAGATTGGGCCCATCACTGTGGCATATGCCTATAATCCAGGGTACTCAGGAGGCTGAAGCAGGAGGATCACAAGTTTGAGGCCAGCTTCAGCAACTTAGCAAGACCCTGTTAAAAAATCAAAAGTCAGAAAAAAACAAAAAAAGGCTAAGGATGTAACTAAGTGATAAACAGTCCCTGGGTCAATCTCTAGTAGTAAAGAAAAAAAAAGTTTATAGGAATGGATGAGTCACCATTATCAATGCTGGCTCAATTACACATGAGAGATACAAGTATTTTCTGTAGTAGCTTTACACACCTATGTGTCTAACCAGCATTTTCAACTAAGCCTTTTTCTATACAACACATATTTTAATCATTATCAGTTGTAACATATCAGACTTCACTTCAGGTTGTATATGTGTTTATGTTCTCAACTTTTTGGAAATATTCTTACCTATAATTCTTCCATGAATACTGTTCATGGAGACTAATTTGTTCCCAACCCAGAATTGACTCTTAGAATAACAACTGGGCAGCCTTAGGAACATGTGACTAACATCAAACATTAAGGAAAAACAAAGTCATTTGCCTGTTTTTTAATTGACTGTGGATGTTGTTCCCAACATCAACTCTTTTCACAACTGCCCTCACCAAAAGACTAATAATCCAACAAGTTTTTTTTTTTCCTGGACACATCTTTTGTCCACTGAAATTAAATGAGTTTTAATAACTCCTTGCTTTTATAAGATATGAACTAGTTGGGAACTTACATTTGTTGTAGTCTTGCTTTCATTTATAATTTTGGTGAAAAAATTCTGCTGTGATAATTCTGTTTTAAATTTTCTATTTTATTTTATCTGAACTTTGCTTTCATGTTAATCAAGAATATCATGGTGAAGGCTTAGAGTGGTAATGTTGATGCTTAAGTGTATTTTTTTTAGCATAACGTCATTGTATAATACAAACCATATTTTGCCATTCAATTTGATAACAAAAGAATCCACAGTCCATTGTACCTTAAAAGCACAACATCTGAAGTTCATTTCTTCTCTTGTTTTGACATGATAGATGAAATAATTTTTTTTAAATGTTATGTTACTGTGATACCGTGACACTCCAAACCCTGTTAAGTTATAACGTTGTCACTGTGATTCATAGCACTCTGAGGCCCACACATGGTCTCTGTTGCAGCTACTCTGCTTTGCTGTTGCAGGGTAAAATCAGTCACAGACAGTACATAAGTGAATGAGCACAGCTGTGTTTCAATAAAACTTTATTTATGGATGCTGAGATTTGAATTGAATATAACTTTCAGGTGTGATGAAATTTCATTATTTTGATTTCCTTACCAATTATTTAAAGATGTAAAAAGCATTCTTACCTTCCAAGCTATAAAAAGAATGAGTGGCATCAAATTAGCCCAACCATCCTTATAGCCGACCCAGATTCTAGTGTATACGTGTTGGGTTGGGAGCAAATATACTGATGATTATTCATGGTTTCAGATAATCTTAAGATTTTTCTCACCCATTGTTTTGCATCCAAGTTTTGACTACTTGAAGATCCATTTATGCTTAAAGAGGTTTTATCTGAAAAAATTATCACTATTGCATTTGTAGCTCCAAGATAAACAGAAAATGACTTGATTTTTGTACAAACTGTTCTTCCTACAACTAGCAATTAGAAATCTTCCCTCTTTTTTGTCCTTCAGGAAATATTTGTAGAAACTAAATATTATGTGGCTGTGATCATTTATTTCTATAAGTTTCTAAAATTCAGGTAGGTATAAATGAAATTAGCCTGGGGCATTTAAGAGTGATAGAGTATTTTCCTGGTGATTAATCAGACTGTAATATGGCTTACATATTTCTGAAAATTCAGCAACAACTGGCATTACAAATGGAGTTGGAAATGCAAAAAAAAGAGAAAGAGAGACTAGAAGAACTTCAGAGAACTCAAGAACAATTAGAGAAGGTAATTTTAAGTTTTATAAATATGTTTATTTAAAATATTCTGGAATCCTCAAACTGATATCATAGCAAAAAGATCAAGGGTTTGTCTAAAGACCTGTCAGACTTTAGCTGGGTGACTTAAGTATATCATCACCTTTTCCATCTCAGTTTACCTGTTTCAAAATATATGGATAGAAACATAATATTATGGGTAATATCTCACTGGATTATTGTGAGGATCAAATACAGTCATGTATGTGAAACCGCTTTGTGAGCAGCAAGTTTCTCTGTCAACATTTTTGTCAAGAGCTAGCTATTCCCAATGGAGTCTTACTGAGTCATAAAGAAGAAAGAAATATGGCATTTGCTGGTAAGTGAATGGAAATGGAGAAAATCATGCTATATGAAATATGTCAGACTCAAAAAATCAAGGGTCAGATGTTTTCTCTCATGCGGAGGCTAAAGCAAAATAAGGGAAAGAAGGTGATGTGGGAGGGTATCGAATATCATGAAGATAAAGGGAAGATCAGTGGAGTAGAAGCAGAGAATGAGAGGAAGGAAGGAGGGAGGGAAAGGGGAAGAAATATGGAAGGAATCTAACAGAATCATATTATATACATATAAAAACACACCAAAGGGAATTTCACCTTTATATGTATGTAGAAAGTACCAATCAAAAATAAATAAATAAAGGAGTGAAAGGAAGATCAATAGAGAAGGGAAAAGAGGAGGAGGGAGGAAGGGAGGAAAAGAGGGGGTGGGGATTGAAATCAAATTCCTTGTATATATAATTTTGTCAAAAGGAACCCAAATACTGGGTATAATTACAATGCTCTAAAAAAAAATACAAAAAAAAGAAGAAAGAGAGATGAGAGGAATGATGGAATGAAATTGTCAAAACTTTCCTCTGTATACATATGAATATGTGACAGTGATTTTCACCCTTATATGTATATTATGTATATTAAGCACTAATTTTAAACAAACTATCAATAAATTATAGGAAGACAGAGTAGTGGAAAAGAAACGGGTAGGGAAGAACAGAGGGCAAAGGRAAATACTGGGGACTGAATTGAAGCAAATTGTATTCTGTGAAAAAAATTATATTCCATGCTTCCATAATTATGTCAAAATTAAACCAAATATTATCAACTGTAATGCACTAATAAACATGTGGATTATGATCCTAAAAAAAAAGAACCCAAATACTGTGTATAACTACAATGCTCTAAAAACAAACAAACCTAARTGTAGGAAAAGGGGAAAAAAAAAGAGTTTACCATTTCTGATGGTGGTAGATACTGTTGGAAGTTAAGTTTGTTGAAGAAAACAGCATGTCTGTTTTCTTCAGGTTAAATGGATTAACAATAATTTGCATTTTGAAATACATTTATATAGATTTTCATGACTTTTACAAAGGTAAATTGTGCACAATTGATTTTTTAAAAGCCCGTCTTCATTGATTGTGTCTATAGAATGTCAAATGTCCAGTTTACTAATATTTCCTGGTATCAGAAAAGTATGTATCATACAGACCAAACTTATGAATGACTGAATTTGTGGCTACTATCTCATACTCACATGTTACTCCCATGTTGATTCCATAATTAAAAATAAGGTCAGAAGGAGGTTTTATAGAATATGTCCAATGTTTATTAATGGCTCAGATGAGAGCATCGCTATTTAAAGGGTGTTTTTAAAAGTGTCAAGAATGAATTTAATCAAAAAGATGAGATTTTGATGTATAAATTTAAACCCCCTCTACGTAGTTTTATAAAATATAGATGCGGGTGTTAAGTTAGTCTATGTAGGAGGAGTGCCTGGATATGCACATATGTACACATACATGCAAGCACACCCTTTCTCTTTAGTTGAGTTAGTGACGCAGAATGAAAGGAGAAAAACAGGATCATATCAAGAAGATAACAATCAAAATCAGGGATTTAAAATATCTTTTATTGAGGTGAAATGATGGTTCTGTTTGAGTGCCTAAAAATAGGAGGGATCATTTTATGGCTCCAAAGCCTCACACCCATGTTATTTCACTCTGTTCTGGTATCAGCAGTCTGTGTGACCAGAGTGATGGTAATTTTAATAATCTCTCCTCTGGATTATCATCCTTTATCTCTCCCCTGCAAAGTACCTCTGCCTCTCCCTTGTTCAGAGACTAGTCCATTCATGTTCTTTATTCTGGCCTTATTGTGGCTGCAAACACACAATTTAAACTATCATTCTCAAAGGAAGTTTATAGGAAGGATTGCCAGTTGGAGAAAGTATTGAACACTTAAACTGTGAAGAACTCTGGTACATTTGGGCCTTCCAGACTGTTGAGAGCAAGAGAATCAATTGCTGCCAGGGCTCTCACCTCTGCTGTTCTTTGGTTGCTATTTCCAGTCTCTCTCTTGATGGTCTGGTTTGCAGCACTTGAGAAATGTGGTCTTTAATGGTTCCTGGGTTTTATGTGTGTGTAGCTCACACCATTGGTGAGGAATGGATTTCTCTTTTGGTTTCAGTTAAGAAAAGAATTTGGGGGAAAGTTCTGACTGGTTTTGTTTGTTTTAAATATCTATTTCTGTGGTTGGGGGCTATAGTCCTATAAGAACATAGGAAAATGGAGTTGTCTTTGGAAAATAGTATCACATATGTTCCTATAATTAGGGTGACTATGAGTACAAGGTTATTGTCTTCCAATAGCAACAATAGCAAATGATCTGTCAGGTCACCCTGCTGTTTTAGAATGAAAAGGTGGCTGGTAAGCAAAGTTTGGCTTGGTTGGGAGAACACTTTGTCATTCAGGAAAAGGCCTCCCCTGTTAGGCAATACATTTCTATTGTAGACTTATGGAGAATGTTGCCTACACACTATGAGGAAGACTCGTGCATACTTACATACTTACTTAGTGCATACTTACATACTTACTTAGAGTTTTACACATAGTATGAAAGAAATAAGTGTTTGTGTTTTCCCCACTTATTTCTTTCATACTATGTGTAAAACTCTACTTACCTGCAAGTTCTCTTTAAAATTTCTTAAGATTTTATTAGAACTTTTATGTTGTCACTCTTTACATTTGCTAATAACTTGGCTTCAGATTTAATGTTTTAGCTCATTTAGTTTTAAAAAAGTTTTACTTAATTATAAATAAAGCATAGCTGTCTTCTGCTAGTATTTCAATTAAACTGTGATCTGCAGTTGAGTGTGAAGTATGTAGAGACCACACCTTAGAGAGTGATGGGTTTTTACTCTTAGTTTGATTAGAGCATTATGTAAAAATAAAAATGCTTGAAAATTAAACATGAAATCAAATGGGCTATATTTAAATTATTTTATTAACTTTTATATATTCTAGGAGATGAGAACAAGTGTGGAAAGTATGCCTAAGAGTGAGGATACTTTTTATTCAGAGGTGAGAAGAAAAAGTTATCTATGTTATGTGAAATGAATGACTATGCTAGGACGTAAATCTTAATTTTGATGCATCATTAGCTAAAGGGGTATTATCAAAACTAATAGTACAAATATATGTTCTTGTTATAGATCACAAGTGTGATGCACTTTGAAGCTAAATCTCAAAGCAAACAAAAATTGTGCATTCAGAGTGTGTTTATATACTTAAAAACTAGAATATCTTGAAATATTGGCCATAGAATTACATATTTTAAGTTTCTGAATGTAGTTTTTCTATTTTTTCTTGTCCTCAGCAGGTATTTAGTTAATTCCACTAATTAACAATGAAAGATATTAGTTTCAAGTCACTTAAAAGTGAAAGTGAATTTTGTGATTATAGGAAGGATTTCTAGACACAAGCAAAACACTTGCTGAAATTAGTGATAGATATGGAGCACCTAACTTGAGCAGAGTAGAAGAACTTGATGAATCAATGTTTTCTGATGTAAGTATCAAAATTTTTTACTATATATATATATATATATATATATATATATATATATATTATATACACACATATATTTTAGTTGTTGATGGACCTTTATTCTATTTATTTATTTATATGTGGTGCTGAGAATCAAACCCAAGTGCCTCACACATGGTAGGCAAGTACTGTACCACTGAGCCACAACCCCAGCCCCCAAATATTTTTTTAAAAAGCAGATTATTTCTTTTTTTTTCTTTACTTTGATAAAGCCTAATACATATGAGTCCAGAATTGGTTGGCAAATAGGCTGTTTTTCCTTCATAGAAAGTCAATTCCCTGATTGCTGACCACTTGCATAATTGGCACTATCTTACTTAATGAAGTGTGTCATTGGAAAATCCATACTTATATCTGTATCTGCCTATGCCTATCTTTATATGTCATCTGTCTATTTTGGAGTTAGACTTTGAAAATAACAAAATCTCTTCAAAAGGTGTGTGTGTGTGTGTGTGTGTGTGTGTGTGCGCGCGCATGCGTGCACATGGGTAATATATAATCTTTATATTTGGGAAGGCACACCATTTTGCTTCTCTTTAACAAGCCCTGGAACCACATACACATCCTAATGAGAGTGCATAGTTTTTCAGTATATAAATACATTTGTTTGTTTAGCAAACATATCATGTCTTCTGTGTGCCAGGCTCTGTGCCAGATGCACTTGTGAATAAGACAGAGTTCTGACCTTGTCCACAAGGTTACTCTCTAGAGGGGAAATAGGCCAAAATTTGGTAGAATGACCAGGTAATTTATTGTCCAAACTAGTATGCTTTTGAGAATGAAAGGAGGAGCTTTCAGTAACTGAGCTAGATTAGCAGGTGTGGACCTGGACGGTACTGGTAGAAGGGCACATTGGAGCACTTTAGTTTGATGAGATGGAATTGCCAGCACAGATTGGGAACCTTGGTCAGGGAAGTTGCCAGAAGGAAGTCACCTACTTGTTACTCAGTGGTAAGGTGGAGGATGAGGAGTTCCAGATAGCACAATAAGTGTGAAGATCCAGGCAGGAGACAGTATGGAGTGGAGTGATTTAGCGGGGGCGGGTAAGGGATGAGGCAGGGGACAAAGCAGGGGCCAGGCCCTGAAAGGACTATAATAACTGCCCAGAGAATCAGATTTCCTTACAGGCAGTGGAGTTTGATGTAGTGGAGGCTGACATATCCAGAGCTGCATTTCAGAAAGGCCAGGCTGGCTATCTTGTGGGGAAGGAATGTGCGATACCTGTTAGGAGCTTTGCGAGTAGTCTAGAGACAGGCAGCCGTGGCTGGACATGAATGTTGTTTTCAAGAGCTGTTCAAAGAGTTAGGCTAGAAAGACTCAGTGCTTGTCAATTTATGGCTATATTTTTATTGGATATCTGCTATTATTTGACACCATGGTGGGAGCTAGAAAACACGATTGAACAATGTACTTGCCCTTTGTGGGCCTTGGGCCAGTGAGTAAGGTGCTCTGAGGGACTAGGCAGAGATTTTTAAATTTTTTTATTTTTATTTTTTTGGTACTAGAGATTGAACCTAGGACATTTTGCCACTGAGAGACATCTCTAGCCCTTTTTATTTTTTATTTTTGAGACAGGGTCTCGCTAAGTTGCCTAGGCTCTCACTAAGTTGCCGAGGCTGGCCTTGAACTTGCAATTCTCCTGTCTCGGCTTCCCGGGTTGTTGAGATTATAGGCATGTGCCACAAGACCTGGCTGGATGAGTCTTCTTGAGGAAATGAAGATCAAGCCTCAGCCTGAGATGAGCCCAGAGGATGGAGAGAGAGGGAGGGAGGGAGGGAGGGAGAGAGAGAAAGAGAGAGAGAGAGAGAGAGAGAGAGAGAGAGAGAGTGCTCCGGCGCACAAGATGTTGAGAATGGACTGAAACAGTTCAGTACTGTGGCTGAGTTGCATGAAGCTAGGAGGATGGGAAGATTTAAAGCTGGAGAGGTGGTAAAGGTCAGATGATACTGGGTTCTGTGTGTTCATGTAAGGGATTTTGATCTTAAATGCAGTGGGAGTTATTCAAAGGATTTAGGGATTAGATCTGTTTTTTTTATAAACTGCAGAGAGGTTTGCAATGGGCAGCAGTGGATAAGGGTGACCATTTAGGAGGCTATTATGATTATCCAGATGCAAAGCAACCAGGATTAGGTAGAGCTGAGTCCTGATAGAATTCGAGATTGGCTGAGTGGACAAGGGAAGAGGGATCCCAGAAGAAAGCCAAACTCTTATCCTCAGGCAACTCAGCTGAGTGTTACCATCTAATGAGTTGATGAGTATAAGAAAAGGAAGGTTTTTTAACAAGAGGGCTTCAGTGTGGAGAGGTTGACTTTCTGGCAGCTCTGAGATATGCAGGTGAAAATGGCCACTGGATGTGATGTAGGGTATGGGTCTGAAGAACAGGGAAGAGTCCAGGCAGGAGATTCAAATTCAGCAGCCATGGGCAGAGGTGCCAAGTGAGCAAGGAGAGTGAGCAAGGCACCCGGGAGAGTGTGCTGTGAGTGTTTGTAAGCCTGAGGGCTCAGGGGAAAAGCTCGGGAAATTCCAGAATTTTAGGGGTGGGCCACAGAAAGAGGACCTCACAAAGAGAGTGAGAAAGGAAGCAAGAAAAGTAGAAGAAAGGAAGGGAGATAAACCACCTGGAGAACACATTCATTATCATGTTCTATTTGGATACTCTTCTAAATCATCTGAAATTCACAAAAAAGCTTCATTTACATAGCAATTATGTAAGCTCTATTTCCTTGTCTTGTACCTTTTCACAGTTCTCATTGTTTTAAAGTCTGTTTGCTTTTATTTTGCTTCTAGGTCGCATTAAACATTGATCAAGATTTGCAGGATCAATAAATCTAAGAACAATAAAAATTGTTTGCTTATTTTAAGTTCCAAATTATGAGCTCTTGATTTGTAAGAATTTTTTTTTTTACCTTCAATCTTGAACTCTACATTTTTTTTCCCTCTAAGGACAACTTTATAAATGGGCTTCAAAGGGGTACCTTAAAATATTGTTTGGATATTCCAATGCATCTGGTTATTTGTGTGATTACTTTGAGAGAACAGGATGGATGGAGTTTGCTGAAACAACCAAAAACAGGCAAAAAGATGAGCTGTCTGCAGGAAATGGAGGAAGCCACTGAGGAGAGCTCAGCACAGTTCAGCATGCCTTAGATATGGCTTTCTTCCTGGGAGGGAACTGTAGGGCTTTCTCCAGTTTGCTGGGAGCTGGGAATTCTGAATCCCCACTTCCATGTTGTGACTGGTCTGGGGAAGGAACATTCTCCACTGTCCTGCTGGGGAATTTTCTCAAGCTTAGCTTGCTCAGCCCCCTCAAGAACAGGCATAGGAACTTCTCCTTCCTCACTTCTTTGCCCAGTGGGATGTCCAGGATCCTGCCTTCCTCTTTGGGGTTTATGAAGTCCAGGGACCTTGTATAGAATGTCCGTATGGAAAGAATTGAGTGGAGTCTAGGCAAAGTCTTAGGGTGCTAAAAGGTATCATTTCTTCTGGACCCATCAGTAGGCTCAGGTATGAGAGCAACTGCTGAAGGGCGGGTCTCCCTGGGTTCAGACTATGCACTGCGCTCTTGGCTCCTTCAACTCCAGGCCTAGTTTGAGACTCTGGAGAGAACTTTACTTCCTTTACAAAATTCTTCCAAATCCAAGCCTATGGGATGAGTGTTTTCTCAAGGACACTGATTTGAAAACACCCATTTCAGAGATTTTTTTTCAATTGTGTTTTTTCCTTATAATTTGCTTTTCCTGAGACAATTACAACTGAACAGCCCACTGCTTAAATGGAAAGACTAAAAGAAAAAAATAGGAGAAATGTTCATTTTTGTTAAAAATACATGTTATCCTGTATCAGTTCCATGTACATTTTTCAGAATAAAGTCCCATGGACCTTGGAGAAATGACTTCTATGACAGTCTGGCTGCAAGGCACTGTGACCCATGGATGACCTACATTCATATCTGCTCAGGCATGAGAGTCTGAGAGCATCTTTTCCTTCCAGACCTCAGCCTCAGCCTACAAGGGGCCCATTATGAAAGGCTGGGAGGAGGACGCAGTCTTGGGAGGGTCATCTTTGGGGTATGGGTTAGGGTCTGGGATGTGGCAGCAAGAGAATCTGAGCTTAGTTTGGGTATTATAGTCTATTATTTAAAGCCCTCCTGGCCATAGCCAGACACAAGAGGCAGAAGGTGGAAGAGACTCCTGTCTCTGAAGGAGATGAGTCACAGTTAGATTGGCTACCCTGAGCTGTCTTTCAGTATCCTAGGACTTATTGCTGATGTCAGGAAGATTCATTATGGACCCACCCAAGGGTACAGAGGGATATGGCTTTTATTCTGATAGACTTTCTGTTAGATGGTATCTCTTTGTGGTTTGTTTCGCATTTCCCTAATGATTAATGGCTAAGCATATTTTCATGTGCTTTTTGGCCATTTCTGTATCTTCTTTGGAGAGTCAGTTTATTGTTTATTTTTTTTTAATTTGTTTCTCTTTTTGTTTTTGAATTATAAGAGTTATTCAGTTATACATTCTGATAATAGACCATCATCAGTTACATGATTTACAAATATTTTCTCCTGTTCTATGATCTGTCATTTCACACTCTGGATAGTGATCTTTTGTGGCTCAATGGTTTTGATTTTGATCAGTTTCAACTTATCTACATTTTTTTTGTTGCTTATGTTTTTGACATTATCTCTAAGAAAGCATTGCCAAATCCAAAGTCATAAAGATTTACATTATGGTTTGTTTTAAGTGTTTTATACATCTTAGCTTTTATTTAGCTCTTTGATTACTTTTAGTTAATTTCTATCTATAGCAGAAAGTAATTGTACATATTATGTGAGGTAATCAAATGACTATCTAGTTTTCCCAGCATCATTTGTTAGAAGAGATTATTCTTCCTCCATTGAATAATCTTGGCATTCTTACTGAAAATCATTTGACCATAGACAAATGAATTTATTTTAGGATTTTCAGTTCCATTCATTGACCTGTATGTTTATTCCTATGCAAGCACCACATAATTTAAGTACTGTAGCTTGTAGTTAATTTTGAAATTGAGAACTGTGAGTCCCCCAGTTTTGTTCTTCCAACAATAAAAAGTTGTTCTAGCTATTGGGACTCACTTGCCATTACACATGAATCTTAGAATTGCTTTTTTTTCATTTCTGTTAAAAAAGTGATTGGAATTTTGATGGGGCTTACATTGAATCTCTAGACTGCTTTGAGTAGTTGGTAGTTGTGCAATATTAAGTTTTTCCAATCCATGAACATAGGATGTTTTTTCATTTATTTAGGTTTTTTTCCATTTTGTCAGCAGTATTTGTAGTTTTTAGTGTACAAATTTGGGCTCCTCCTTGATTAATTTTTTTCCTAAATTATTGGTATTTTTTGATGCTTTTATAAATGAAACTTTCTAAAATTTTCTTTTCAGATCATTCATTGTTAGTGTGTACAAATAAAACTAGTTTTGTATTCTGCAACTTTGTTGAATTCATTTATTAGATCTAATTGTGTGTATCTCTATTTCTCTCTCTCTCTCTCTCTCTCTCTCTCTCTCTCGGATTTAGGATTCTCTATATTCAAGATCATGTCCTTTATAAATATTAAATATATGTGATTCTTTATTTTTATATTTTATTCTTTATTTTTATACATTCCTGATTCTTTTCCACTTTGTATGCCCTGCCTCTCTCCTCCCCACACAGTTTTTCTTAATTGATCTGGATGGAACTTCCAGCATGATGTTGAATAAAAGTGTTGAAAGTGCACATCCTTGTTTTGTTTCTGATTTGAGGGACTTAATAGAAAAAGCTTTAAGTCTTTGACCATTTAGTGTGATGTTACTATATATATATTTTTTTATAGATGCTTTTAAGCAAATTGAGGTAGTTGGTTTGCATACAAAATTCATTTTTGTTTGTGTGTGTGCACATGCACTGGGGATGGAACCCAGGGCCCCACACTTGCTAGGCATGTGCTCTACCAGTGAGCTGCATTCCCAGTCCAGATGTTGGGTTTTGACAAAATCCATTTTCTGTATCTACTGAGATGATCGTTTTTCTTAGTGTGTGTGATGCTACGGATCACACCCAAGGCCTCACACCTGCCAGGAAAGCACTAAGTCACATCCCCAGCCCTAAGAGGATTATTTATTTTTGTCCTTTATTCTATCAGTATGATGTATTACATTGATTGATTTCTAGTTTTTGAACAAATCTTGATGTCTTGGGGGTAAGTTCTGCTTGTTATTTTTTAAACTTTGTTTCAAACTTTATTCCCAGGCTTCTTCAGCTTAATTAGCTTCAAAGAGTCAATTGTATATAAGCAAAAACTGAAAAGAGCTGCAGTGTTCAAGGAGCTTGGGCTTAAAAATATTAGAGATCTCAATTTTATGAGTTCCAGAAACAAAAACAATTTTAAATATCAGTCATAATATAAAATAGCAGCTCCCAGTAACTTCTTCAAGTTTATCTTCTTCAGAAGTTGATCAGTTCAGTTTACCGCATCTTAGAAGGCTCATCAAAATTCTCCACAAAATCTGGAACTTGATCATCATCATCCTCTTCAATAGCAATTAATGCTTTTCCGTCTACAGATTGTTTGAGCAGAGCTTCAGCCAGTCTCCTTAAACTAATCAGATGGTCTTCACCAAGCTGGTTTAAGATGCTGGGTAGCATTTCTGTCAGTTGCTTTGTCTCAGCATGGCCTGTAATGGTGAAAGTGTTTGCTGTCAGAGACGCCTGAACTTTAGGGTTGTTAAGGTGAATCACTGTACATACATCACATGTAAACATATTCACTTCTTCAATACTTTGGTTGGGGGTGGACTAGGGTTGGCACTCAAGGGGTCTCAGGCAGACCAGCTGAGATTAGGCATACACATGCGAGGATGCAAGATGGCAGCTAGAGAGTTCTGCTTTTTCTTGATATCTGATCCTTTTATATATGGCTTGAGTCAGTTTAATTGTGATTTGTTGAGGATTTTTGCACCTATATTCAAAACATGTTGGAATTGTTTTCTTGTCTGGCTTTGGTATCACAGTAATACTGGTTTTATATAATAAGTGGGAAGTTTTCCTTCTTTTACTTTTGAAGCAGGTAGTGAAGGGTCAATGCTAGTTGTTCTTTAAATACTATATCCAGCAAAATTAAACTTCAGATTTGACAATGAAATTAAAATATTTCACGATAAACAAAAGTTAAAAGAATTCGCAGCCAGAAAACCAGCACTGCAAGGCATTTTGAGCAAAACTCTACAAGAAGAGGAATTGAAAAACAGCACCCAAAACTAACAGTGGGAGGTAACTCAGTAAAGGGAAGGAAAAACTAGCCATATTAAAATAAATAAATAAACAAGCATGATGGGAAGTACAAACCATATATCAATAGTAACCTTAAATGTTAATGGCTTAAATTCACCAATCAAGAGACATAGGCTAGTAACCTGGATTCAAAAAACAAATCCAAAAATATGCTGCCTTCAGGAGACTCATATGATAGGAAAAGACATACACAGGCTGAAGGTGAAAGGTTGGGAAAAATCATACCACTCACATGGTCCTTGGAAGCAAGCAGGAGTGGCCATACTCATAACGAATAAAATCAACTTCAAACCTAAGTTAATCAAAAGGGATAAAGAAGGACACTATATACTGTTTAAAGGAACCATCCACCAACAAGACATAACAATTATCAATATGTATGCACCAAACAATGGTGCTGCAACATTCATAAAACAAACTCTCCTCAAGTTCAAGTGTCAAATAGACCACAACACAATAATTATGGGTGACTTCAACACAC